TTTTAATAATAAAAGGGTGTCAAGTTAATGTGGTTGAATCCAAAAACATCTCTTTCGTGAATATCGATGATTGTTTTACTCTTATAATTTTTTTTTGGTTAACTTTCCTAGGCATAGGGAATGATTATTGGCATTTTCATGTGAATTGGTCCGGTTATTAACTTTAGTTCTCCATGTTTGAAAATAAGGCTAGCTGATGCAAGTTTTCTTTTGGTTCTTGTGTTATATTGAGTTTTTGTGATTTTTAGCTATGAATAAACTTGACTGTACTCCGCTATTAGTTACTACTGAGTAACCGGGGATCTGCACCTAAAAGTGTCGATTCTCGCGTCAAAAGGTAGTAATTCCTATGAGTACGCGGTCACGTGGCAATAGAAGCTGAGTAACCGGGCTCCTTCATCTGGCCAATGTTGGAGTTCGCGTCAAAAGGCTCAAATGGCTAGCGACTAAGTCTTTTGTTACTATTGAAAAACAAAAAAGAATCGCAAAAAAAAAAGAAAAAAAAAAGAGAAAAGTAGAAAAAAAAGTGAAGGTTGTGTTAGTGTGTAATAAAAGTCAGCTTGCCGAATTATGAATTTAATGTTGAGATTTTGGTTAATAGTTGGACCATTTGCTGATAAATGTTATGCGTTATTCCTTTTTCTTAGATTAGTTAACATGAAATTAGAGGAGTTTGTGGTTTAGAAGCTAACCGGAGTGATGTTTCTTGGACTTGACCATTGAAGCTTGATTATTATTTTTCTTGGTATCTTGGCAATTTGTTGGATAGAGCAATAGCCACCATCAAATATTGGTGTTTGATCGCTTTTCTCATGCTTGAGGACAAGCATGGTTTAGGTGTGGGGGGAATTGATAGGTTACAATTTTATCATTTATTTTATAATTAATTTCTCCTATTACCTGACTTGATGTGGATTAATTGCGGGATTCTACTCACTTTTAGTATTTTGCATTTATTTCAGGGAGTAGAGCGAAAATATAATAACAGGTGCTAATTTGACAAAAAAAGAGTCCAAGGTACAGAGCTTATCCCGGGGGCATTATTGGCAAAGGAAGACTTTTGCCCATTTTGGTAATTTCAAAAGAAGAGAGCAGGGCAGAGGCCTCTATTTTACTGGAGGCTGGAGCGCCGCACAAAGGGAGCTTCTTCTTCATTCGGAGGCTCCGTCCTCTCCGCAAGGGGGCTGCCGCACACAGTAGCCATTAGAATAGGAGCAATTGATATATGGCAGAGAATGAGCACTAGCACCAGGGAGTTGCCTTTGTTGACTTTTCTTCCCTTTTAGTTCTTAGTAGTTGTTTTACCTTCCTCGTACGTAGGACCTTTAGCATAGTTTTCCTTTTGACTTTTCCCTTGAGTCTTGGGTGGATGTCTCCTGCGCATGTCAGGAGCAATTGAAGGTCTTGGTCACTTTCTGTATTCTTCCATCAACTGAGCGAACTGAGCTCCCTTGGTCAAGGACAATGGCTGCGGCTTCCTCTCCAACTTTGTGTGGGATTTGTTCACCAGGAATGTACTAATTTTTCTTTTATAGTCAAGGAACAACGGAGGTCTTGGTTGGCCTAAATTTGTGAGATCGAATTAGTTTTTATTTATTTCCATTATTCACTGGTATTTGTCTATCTTCTGCTTTATGTTCATATGGTTGTTTTATTATTCGATTATCCAGGGCCCGGATTCTAGATTAATTCAATAACCTGAAGCCAATTAGGATAGTTAAATCCGTAATTGTTTAATTATTCTAAACTGGTGGCAACTGGCATGATTGGGTTTGTGTCAGGGGGATAGACATGCTAACTTAAAGAAACCCTCGTAGCGTGTTGATTGGTTAGAATTAGCCTCTTCTAATTATTCATGCAATTAGGGAATTGAACTTCTATGGTCGTACCTAGGGTTATTTCCTGATTAGAGAAATAGTCAACGGTCGTACCTTGGCTATCGACAAATTGAGGAAGAGTTGGTTGTTTATCGCGTGTATGACAACTATAACTAATTTATCAGATAGTAACTGGAATAATCCTTGCATCTGTGATCGAATTAAGTGAACCATCTCCGAAGTTGTCTATTGGCTAGAGTTCGTCAATTATTATTTTTATTGTGATAATTAGTTATTTGAGTTGTAGTTATTTTATTTTATTTATCCCAAGTAATTTAGTTACTCTCATTTTCAAAAACCCCCCATATCTGGAACTTGAAAAGAAATAAATTATCCCCAGTCCCTGTGGATTCGACCCTGCTTATCACTATCTACAGAAATTATATTTTATTTGAGCAGGTATTTATTATTGCACAGGCTTCGACAAATAATAAATATAGAACCTAGCTACCACTAAGAGCAGTCAATAATTAATCCTAGGTACTGGAGCAGGGAGTCTAGGTGTGCAATGGGTAATTGATTCACCATGTTCCCGAAGAGTTTGCTTAATCCGATATACCAGAATTAATTAATTGACGAAAATTACTAAATAGTAGACAGTGGCAAGTAGGGTCGTCTCCTCAGGGACTGGAGATATTTGTCTCTTTTTAAAGTCCAATTGATAAGGGGGGATTTTACCGGAATGAAACTAAAAATAATCAGACAATGTAATTAAAAATGAATAAATCACTAGCACAAATATAGCAGGAATTTAATCAGGAATAAATAAATTCTAGCCAAGGATACAACTACTCAGGCACAGTCCATTTATCCGATCATTGATGCAAGAGAGGTTCACTTAACGTATTAATAGGCTAGTTATAGTCTGACGACCAATTTTTCCTTAAATTATAGATGACCAAGGTACGACCATTAATCACCTCTAACCAGAAAAGTACTCCTAGGTACGACCGTAGGAATTAATTTTCCAATTGCATTAATAACTAGAAAAACCTAGCTCTAACCAATAACACGCTACGAGGGTTATTTAAATTAGATTGCAAAAAAGTGAAGGTTGTGTTAGTGTGTAATAAAAGTCAACTTGCCGAATTATGGACTTAATGTTGAGATTTTGGTTAATAGTTGGACCATTTGCTAATAAATGTTATGCGTTATTTCTTTTTCTTAGATTAGTTAACCTGAAATTGGAGAAATTTGTGGTTTAGAAGCTAACCGGAGTGATGCTTCTTGGACTTGACTATTGATGCTTGATATATGTTTTTCTTGGTGTCTTGGCAATATGGTAGGTAGGGCAATAGTCTTTGTCAAACATTGGGTTTGTTGGCTGTTATCATGCTTGAGGACAAGCATGGTTTAGGTGTGGGGGGAATTGATAGGGTGTAATTTTATCATTTATTTTATTATTAATTTTCCCTATTACCTGACCCGATGTGGATTAATTGCTGAATTCTACTCATTTTTAGTGTTTGGCATATATTTCAGGGAGTAGAACGAAAATATGATAACAAGTGCCAATTTGTGGGGAAAAGGAGCCCAAGTCACAGAGCTTAGCCCAAGGGCAGTGTTGGCAAAGAAAAAAAGATCTTTTGCCATTTATTTTGGAAGGGCTAAACCGAAAGGGGGTTGTTCCTTTCCCTTGGGGGAGCCACCGCACAAGGCAAGAGCAGCAGAGGACTGAAGACGGCTGGCTTTCCTCTTAGTTTTTCCATATTTTTTAGTTTAGCTTAGGACCTTGGCTTTTCCTTAGTTTTCCGTATGGGAGTTTGGCTTTGAGCTTTGACTTTTCTTTTGGTTGGTAGTAGTTCCTTTCCCCTGCGTATGTCAGGAAGAATGGGTAACAAGCAATCACCTTTTGTAGCCTCGTTTTCCTTTCCTGAAGCGAATTGCATTTTCCCAGTTTCTGTGATAATGGTCGCGTTCCTTGCTGCAATTTTCCATGGGTTTAGTTCATCAATTATGAACTAATTCCCTTTGTCTAGTCAAGGGACAACGGATGCTTTGGGTCGCCTAAAATTGTGAGATCGATTTAATTTTATCTTTTACTTTTATTTATTGGTATTCGCATATTCCCTGGTTATAGTGCTTATGATTGTTCAATTAATTGATTGTCTTGGATCCGGATAATTAGTTAATTTGATAATCTATTGTCAATTGGGACGTTAAATCCGTAATTGTTTAATTGTCTCAAAATAGTGATGACTGGCATGATTGGATTCGTGTCAGGGGAATACGCGGGCTAATCTAAAATAACTCTGGTAGTGCGTTATTTGGTTAGAATAGGGCTCCTCTAATACGTAAGGCAATTGGGAAATTAAATTCTACGAGCGTACCTAGGATTATTTTTCAATTAGAGCAGTGATTAACAGGCGTACCTTGATCACCGACACAGTAAGGAGGGGTTGATTGCCATCGCTTGTTTGGTAGTTATAACCTATTTATTAGTAAATAATTGGAATTGCCTTTGCTTATCGATGATCAATTAGGTGAACCATTGCTGAAGTTATTCCTTGGCTAGATCCTTAATTATCATTCATTTGATTTTAGTAATTTGTTATTTAATTTTTAATAGTTTCTTAGATTTTATTTGAACTTCTTTTATTGTCACCTTCTGCATAAAAACACCCCATTGTCACTGTGAATTTGAAAAGAAACAATTACTCCCAGTCCCTGTGGATTCGACCCTGCTCACCACTATCTACAGAAATTAATTTTAGTTTGAGCAGGTATTTATTATTGCACAGGCTGACGACCTGTCAATTTTTTCTGTAGCTCGTGTGCCCAAGAATTACTCTATTTACGAGGGCTATCAGGACTATATAGAGGATGAAACATTAAGACGAGCCATAAGATTTTATCCTCCATGAGCAAAATATAACAATGTCTAGCCAAAGACATTAAAGAAAGACGCTCATTGGGAGGCAATCCAATTTCTTTTAGTTATTTTTTGATTTTATTTGTTAGTTTAAATATATTTTTCTTGAATTTGAATGATTTCGGGTTTCAATTTTCGTTCTGATGATTTGTAGGTGTCCTTCGGTTATGACGTGCCCGCGTCATGACGTATAGAGAGCTCATGGTCAGAATCGTCAGAAGGGATTCTTGCCCTCATGACGCGCCCGCGTCATGACGTGCGGAGAGCTCATGGTCAGATTCGTCAGAAATGATTCTTACCCTCTTGACGTGCCCGCGTCAAGTAATCTGGAAAGCTCCAGATTCCGTGCCTTCATAACGTGCCCACGTCACGTTCGCGGGAAAGGTAAGTATTAAAAAATGCTCAAGAATGATTATTGATTTTCTGTTAATCTCTACTTTTGGATTTCAAAAATAAATTTTGTCAATAATAAAAAAAGAGAAGTTATATATAAAAAACAAAAAAAAATTCCCAAAAAAAACCTTTTTTTTAGTAATTAACAAAAAAAAATCGAAGAGTTTTCTCGTAAAAGAAAAATTTAAAAAGAGAAAAAAATAAAATGAAAAAAAACTATTTCCTTTTTCTTTTCATTCTTCCCTCTTCTTTTTTTTCTTTCTTTTTCTTTCTTTCTTTCTTTCTTCTTTCTTTCCTTTCCCCTGCTCTCCTCTGTGTCGACCGAGGCTCGCTTTGCTCGCCTCCTTCTCTGAGGCTCCACCGTAGCTCACCTTTACAGTACGCAAGCCACTCCACCTCGACGCGCCACGCCGCCGACCCTTGCTTCAACGCCGCCCGTTCCAGCTCCCGCCCCTCTTTGCTCACTTAGCTTGCACGCCACAGCCCAGCAGCCAGAGCTCTCCACCCGCGACTCTACCCTCTCTCGCGCGCCTCTCACCACTAGGCCGCCGCCACGCCAGCCACTACCACTCCAGCTCTTTGTTTGGCGGCCAGTAGAGGTATTTCAACCTCGATCCCAAATTTTCGGTGTTGATTGGTATTGTTTAGCGGCTGTGTTATTTTACTCCTGATTTGTTCATTCTCTGTTGTTGCCTACCTAATTGAGAGTGCGGAGATGGTGCCTATGTTACTACTGTCTATATTCTGACTTGCTATTTTGGGTCGGCCAAATTCTTAGGAATATTTATTGCATTTTTTTTAGTGGATTTGAGTTCAATTGTTTTGGGTTGTTGGGTGTTTGACAGTTGCCCTGCTCTTAGCCTCGTCGATTAGCATATTCGTTGAAATTGGTTGTGTTCTAGCACAGGGCGGGGGTCCTTTGTTGACTTTTTGGATACTATTGTTGAGTTTTTGTGTAATATTATTGGAGTATTTTTCCTTAAATGTGTTAGCTCTCTTTGATTAGATATCTGATTGACTGCCACGGGCTTGTTACTGCGTTGCTGTTACTAAATTCCTAAACTGCTATTGCTGGAATTGTCACTTTTGAGTTGAGAAATTAACTGTCTACTTGGAGGCTTTGTTGATAGATTGTAATTTTATCATTTATTTTATTATTAATTTTTCCTATTATCTGATCTGATGTGAATTAATTATTAGATTTTACTCACTTTTCGTAATTTACATTTATTTCAGGGAGTAGAACAAAAATATCACAATCAAGGCCAATTTGACAGTCATCAGGAAAGAGTTTAAATAGCAGGCAATCAAGGGCATTCTTGGAACAAGGAGATGCAAGACCTTTTTGGTAATTTTAACCAAAGACAACAACTAAAAAAGGGAAAAGAAAGCAAACTTGGGGGGAGGCGTCCAGAGGCTTCGTCCTCTCCGCAAGGGGGCCGCCGCACAGGAGCCAAGCATTAGAGTAGCTTTGTTTTTTTTCCTTTCTTAGCTTTTTGGTAGTAGTTCTCTCGTTAGTGATGACAAGGAAAAACAATAGACTTCCTTTAGCTTTCTTTGACTTTTTTCTTTCGTTTTTTGTGGTTGCCCCCTGCGCATGTCAGGAGGAATGAAGCATCAACCTTTGACTTTTCCTTTTGTAGCTTTTGATTGGTTTTCTTCCTTCGCATGATCAGACAACTCTTGTTTCAATTTTGCGTGGGCTTTGTTCATCAAGAATGAACTAATTTCCTTTGTCTAGTTAAGGAGCAACGGAGGCTTTGATTCGCCTAAAAATTATGAGATCGATTTAATTTTATATTTTCTTTTTATTTATTGGTATTTACATATCCCTTGATTGCAGTGTTCATGATTATTTACTTAATTGATTGTCTTGGATCCAAATAATTAGTTAACTTGATAATCTATTGTTAATTAGGGCATTAAATCCGTAATTGCTTAATTGCCTTGAAATAGTGACAACTAGCACGATTAGATTCATGTCAGGGAGATACGCGGGCTAATCTGAAATAACCCTGGTAGTGCGTTATTTGATTAGAATAGGGCTCTTCTAATATATAAGGCAATTGGGAAATTAAATCTTACGGGCGTACCTAAGGTTATTTCTCAATTAGAGTAGAGGTTAACGGGCGTATCTTAATCACCGACACAGTAAGGAGAAGTTGACTGTCATCGCTTGTTTGGCAGTTATAACCTATTTATTAATAAATAATTGGAATTACTTGTGCATCGATGATCAATTAGGTGAACCATTGCTGAAGTTATTTCTTAGCTAGATCCTTAATTATCGCTCATTTGATTTTAGTAAATTGTTATTTAATTTCTAGTTGGCTGTTTTATTTTTATTATTTTACTTTTAGTTGAATTGCTTAAATTGTCACCCCTGATATAAAAACACCCCCCTTGTCACTGTGAATTTGAAAAGAAACAATTACTCCCAGTCCCTGTGGATTCGACCCTGCTCACTGCTATCTACAGAAATCACTTTTAGTTTGAGCAGGTTTTTATTATTGCACAGGTTGACAACTTGTCAACACTCTTCTGATCTCTTAATCTCACGCATTTAGGTTGTGTTTGTGATGTTTAAAATCACAGCGTCGGGGACTATAGTCCTAAAACTTAACACATTGTACAACACAAAGAGTCCATCTAACAGGTGTTCAATATCCATTGGGCACTTGTAAAAATACATTTCCAGTGTCATACTTTTAAAAATATTAGATTGATTAGGGAAAGTAAATTAATATAAAGAAGGGTGGATAAGATTAAATAGAAAAAGTATATAAATGTAAGAAATAATTGTTAGTTTTAGAGAACATCCTCGAGCTTGTGTATATTTTGTTTTATTTCACAGCATTAGACCTTTTCCCTAACATAGAATTGTTGTTTGATCCATATTGGTGAACCTTCTCTCCTATAAAAGATTAAAAGGGGATCATCTGCTGTGTCTCAGTTACATTTCACATTCAAGTATAAATTGGTATATATAGAAGAATAACGGCAACAATAAATCAAATATTCTTGTTCATAGGGATATTGGTGAGCCTCGTTCTTGCTGCACATGCGGATTGTGGCTCTGCCACTTGCTACACTCTGTTTAGCCGTAAGTGTTTGTAAGCAATTACATGAATTTCATCATTAAAGCTAAAATGCAGAAGGAAAGTTTAACCTTTTAATTTTTTTTAAACTCCACGTGACCTATATCTATCAGGTCTTCTTACATTACTACAAGTAGGCATGTCAATGGATAGGGTCTGGGTTGGATCTCTTTGATTCAATTCTAGATCCATTTAATTTAGTTAAACCCAGACTTAGATCCAGATCCTTTTAGATCTGAAAAAGTAAATCCATATCCAAACTCTCATTGATTTAGGTATCCAATGGGTATTCATGAATATTTTCTGAACACACTAAAGTAAAAATGTATAAAAAATGTATAGAGTTCATATATAATATAAATACCATCCAATTTTTGTTTTCAAATAATAAAAATAACATTCAACAAGTTGAATGCAATATTATGAACTCAAAGAAAAAACTATTATTAACTACTTCTGTATATTTTCAAAAACTTAACTGCATTCACATCCAAAATTTTCATTTATTTGCCTTTACCTTTTCTCATTTTCCTGAAAAAGTTTGCATCAATTACAATGGCAACTACAATTAGTTTTTAAAAAAGAAAACAATAATAACATATATAAATATTCAACATTATTAAAAAAATGTAATTTTGTGGAACTAATTAGTGTTTTATTAGATTAAGAATGTATCATTTAATCTAATGGTCATGAAATCTTACATTAAATGACCATAGAATATTAGATTATTTTATAAACTTACTAATATATATTATTTAATTAAATATACATGAGTTTGGATAGGATCTGATATGAGTTTGGATTTAGATATGGATTTTAGAAATCCAAATTCTACCTAGACCCATGATTCTTTCACAGGGTTTGGGTCTGATAGAGTCTAAATTTGAAAAATTAAATCTAAACACTACCAAAATGTATTGGATCTGGGTATGACTCGACCCATGGACATGCCTAATTACAAGCTTGACCTCCTTTGATTATTTCACCTAATTATTCATTTTGATTTGAATAATCAGAGCTTTTTGATGTTCTCGCTTACTTTTACATCTAAATTTTTGATTTTTACATAGTTAAAAAAAATACATTTTTAGAATTTATCAAAGAGTAGTTTTAGCTGATTCTGATTAATTCCTGGTAATCACTCCCTATAATCAACTTATCTAAAATGTACAACAGAAAAGAACAAGCCCTACGTTCGAAAACATGAGATTAAGAAACCTGAAATGATCAAAACGAAATTTGTTTTTGCAGCTTCAGCGTGTTATGGGTATGACGCCCCAACTGGTCTGATTGCTTCTGCTAGTCCTGAAATATGGGAAAATCGTGCTGCCTGTGGCAAAAGATATCGCATAACTTGCACTGCTGGAACCAACCTAGGCGTGCCAGAACCATGCAGTGGTCTGTAAGAGTGTTGAAGTTACAGTACAGTAGTTGATTTCTGTCCTGGTTGTCCAGCCACATTTGATCTCAGTCCAGATGCATTTGCCGTCAATGCAGCTGTTGATGAGGGGTGTATCCTGATTGAATACGATCAGTAAGTCCATTTACAGTTATTAATTTTATGTGGATTAGATTACGGAATTATAATTTCGTTTATCCCCCTTCATTCTTCATCTTTGTTTTGCTAATTGCAGAGTTTGAAATCTCCTACAAGCATCAAATGATGAGGATCGAAGTCAGAAGTCGATGATCATATGTCGAAGATTCAACAAAAGTAGTATAAGATCAACTACATGGAAACTGGGAACTTCTTTTATTCTGTGTGGCAGCACTTTTTTTTTCTTTCTTTTTCAATGCTCTTTTGCAGTATTCAATTCTTTTTTCCCACACGATACAGTTATTTGTGTGGAAAAAAAAATTCCAATAGTGACATCATGGAGGAAGATAGGGTTGATATCATCTGGGAGTCGAGGTTGGCTGCTTAATTATGGTATTGAGAAACTGGGTCTCCGACGGCGCAAGGAGATAAATATTATTCAATAAATACTAGACTATGTCCAGAAGGAAATTGAGGAAAGTAGTCCAAGGTTGCCACAGACAGATATTTCCCTTTTTTTTCTTCCCAGAAAAAGAAGCAGACGACATAAATTATTCTAATTTGAGAAAATTTTCTTTGTATATTTCATCTTCCTCAATTGCCTTTTTTTTTTTTGGTTCTCGAAAGTTATGAAAATCAGAAACCAACAATTAACTCAAGAATCAAACATAAATACAATAAAAACAATCGACTCAGCTAATTGTCATTAGGGTTCTACATTTCCGTGATAGATTACCACTTACTTGGGATTTCTGTTGTACAATGGGCTATTACTTCTCTTAATTGAGCACTGGAAATTGGATAATACCGTGCATTAGACGCTTAAGTCCTTAAAAATTTTGGTCCCTCTTAGCTGTAGCCTGGCCAGAAAGAAATTCTTAGTCCTTTGGTATTTAAGAAACTTAAGCAGTGGATGGAAGATACTTTTACCATGTTAATTATCTACATCAAATTAATATTTTTTTTTTAGTTTTTCCTTATAAAAGCAAAATACCTTGGAAGTAACAAGAATTTGACATAGACGCTTACTTGTTTATCAAGTGAATCTAACAAAATTATACTGGTTAATGACTTGAGGTCCCTTAACTATTTGCTCAGTGTCACTCCAGCCCCCAAGTTTTAGTGGTAACTCTATGTTTAGACCTTCAATCTTGAAGGGAAAAAAAATAGGAAATCCATATACAAGAAAATTAGATTGTTGTCTATTATGGGCTTCATTTTAACCTTTTTCTTTCTTAATTAGAGTAGCTAATATGTCTGTTCTATTTTTCTCCTCACAAACTTGGAGTGGAACCATGTTGAAAAAATCAGATACTATTGCTCAAAAAAAAAAAAAAACTACAATTAAGAGGGTTTGTTCACCACAGTAATAGTAAACCAAAAGTTCAGGGACCATTTGGAGTCCCTAACCAAAATTTTATAGACTTAGGCCACAGCCAATCCTTTGCAACGTTTCCTCTATAAAAGGTACAAACCTGGCCTGGTTTGCTCATCAACCTAAAACTCAAAGAGTGAATTGTTTCAATTTATGTGATGCTTTTCGGAGAGGAGAGAATGGGAGCCACAATGCGAGTTGTTATGATGATTGGGATGGTGGCAAGTCTTGTTTCCATTGCTCATGCAGCTACGGGAACGGCCACTTTCTACACGCCACCTTATGTTCGTAAGTTTTCTGTAAACTGCTCTATATGTTCATTATTCATAGCCAAAGATCTAGCAATGCTGAAGAGAATACGTTTCGTAGCCAACAAAGTTCTAGCTATTCTGAGGAGATGGATTACTTCAAATAACTGTGCAAGTCACTTGCAATTTTATAGAAAGATTTCACTAAACATTTGCAAGCTCAGAACGTTGAAAACGGAAGTAACTGTAATATATCCTCAGCTGTTATGAGTCATGGATGCATTCCATTGGCATTGCTGCATTCGTCATCTGCCTTATTAAAGCATGACCTTAATCCACATGACCTATGTTAAAGCTCGTTCATCGCTTCTTTCTTAAACCAGCCTCTTCTTGCTATGGCTACCAAGACAATGGGGTGATGATTGCTGCTGCAAGTGACGCAATATGGAACAATAGGAAAGCTTGTGGGAAAACGTGCACTGTTAGATGCACGGGACCTACAAACCAGGGGATCCCACAGCCATGCAGGGGTAGTGTTGTGGTTAAAATTGTTGATTACTGTCCTCCCGGCTGTAGAGGAACAATTGATCTCTCCAAAGAAGCATTTTCCAAAATTGCAAATCCAGACGCTGGAAAAGTTAAAATCGAATATAACTGGTAAGCCTCTTATATATCCTGGCAAAATTTCTCTTCAGATAACCACATGCAGTATTTTTTTTTTTTAATAATACATATCTTTATTTTTTTTTTTGAATTTTTCAGCGTTTAAACTTTTGATTGGAATCAGAAAGCTCCCAGAAGTCCAATAAATGATGTTTAGAAATAAGTAGCTTCCCTGTGGGGGTTTTTTTTTTATATGGTACAAGATTTATGTATGAGCTACTACTGAGTAGCATATATGTGTCAAAATATAATAACCAGCAAAAAGCTGTCGAAGCTGTTTGGTGCATTAAACCAGGCAATATTATTCCCTTCTCCCACAAATTTTGTGCGTTAGTAACGTAAAGAGGTAGTAAATACTTTCTATCTGTCGATCTAGAATTGCAGCAGGAAAGGACAATTTCACTCATCTTCTTAAAGTAGGAGCCAGACTTTCACCCGACTTCATCTTAAATCAAAGGGATGGTGATAAAACAAATTTTTTTTAAAAAAAAAAAAAAAGGAAAAGAGCAAAGTCAGGGAGGAAGATGTGTTTGATTTGATATCCTGTTCTCAAGTCCTACAGTACTTGTTCTCACTTTGACTGTAAAAGGAAGATAGTGTAGATTGGTGAATCAAATAAATTAAATTAATTTCAGTAGAGTAGATTGGTTCAATGGTTTGGTGCTGCTTGTTAAATGTACAAAGAAAAAACAGTACAAATTAACAGCATATAGAACTTTGACCAATCATATAAATTAATTAATTGCAGTTGAATTGGCACCAACAGATATTTCCCCGTCAATCATCCCAGAGCGGCCTTTTTTTGACAAAAATTACGTACGTCGACAATTAATGTTGATGAAAATAATTAATGCTGGTCGACGCCCAAATCACAATACAACGGAACAAACAATCAAACTTTATGACAGATTTTTCATACACAAGTATTATTAAAGACTTTGTTATAGCTTTTTTTTAAGGTTATGCAACAGAAGGGGCTTGGTTCATTATTTCCACCTGAAACTTGTTCTCAAGCATTTTCTTTTTTTTAATCTTTTCCTTGCATTCCATTGACGGGTCTCATCCCCCTTTACAGTTTTCCATGAAAATTACGGACATATATACTATACAGCTTGAAATGATAATTACTCCTATTAAATATCTTTAATTATTGTCATGTATAAAAAATAATTTACTAAATTGATAAGGACATGGAGTGATTAAAAAAGTCACTAATAATCAAGTTTACGGGCAAGGATTAGATATGAAATCTGGCAGCAAAGATTAATAGCTTGTCAAAGTAAAAGTATACGGCACAAATTAGGAATTTCAAAATTTTGGGCTACCTCTGACACACCTTTTTTTTTTTTTTATAAATTTTCTCGTACACTCCTTCTAGATATGCCCATCATAAATGCTTGTCATTTGATGTAAAATACTTTTAAAAAGTGTCCAAAAATCTAAAAAGGTTGTGTGAATATCAGTTTTCAAAATAAAAATAAATAATCAACTCAGACGATCTCATAATAAACTCTGATCGATTACTTTTTTATCTGTCAATTATCATTTAATTGTTATTATTATTATATAGTTCAAAACAGTCAACTATATATCATCATTCACCTCCTCGTCAAAATTGATCACCATTATCTACTCTTATACAGCAGACGAGATAGCTCAATTTAGCACATAGAGATATGGACAGAAAGATCAATGCCGTGCATGATGAGACACTAAAACCTGGGGAACAATCAAATATCTTGACCGTTTTGCACTTCTAATGACAACTTTTATGTTTGTACGGAAGAAATTTCTGCCTATGCGGATGGTCTAATTAATCTACATACTTCTGATTCTAATAGCTTTTCTTGAATTAACAAAGTGGGAATGTGATAAGATCTGAGAAATCATGCAGTCTGAAAATTTGAAAGGTCAGCGACGCAATTCCATCTTTCTTTGGAAAAACAGTCACCTAAATGGTGGAAAATTTGACACTAAGTTTATATATAATATAAACTTTACAAAAATACTACGACATCGGCCAGTTGTCATATCTTCTTCCCCTCGCTATAAAAGGCTGGTTCCCATTCTGCGTGCAAAATTAAGCTCAAACTCGAAGTTTACTATTCGAATCATTTTGAGACAGAAGAAAATGGAAGCCAGGATGGGAGTTCTCATGATTATTATTGGCATGGTGGCAAGTTTAGCTTCTGTAGCTTATGCAATTCCGGGGACAGCCACTTTCTATACACCCCCCTACAGTCGTAAGTGTTTCTTTCGATTATTACTCATAGCACAAGACTAGCGAATTTGAAAAAGGCAACTGAAGAGGTGATTTTTGGGTTGGTAACTAGACCGACCTGGATCAGTCCTCTCTGAGATGAAATGAGGTGAACTCCTGTGTCCGAAGTGAACCTCGGTGTCCGAAGTGAGTGGCGGGGCTTCTCCCCTGGGATCACTCCGACGATCAAGTTAGTATGAGAACGAGAATAATGAGAATATGAGTTAATGAACAGTGTAGGCTTACTTGTTGGGAGTGTGTCTGGGGTATTTATAGAGGGAGAGTAGAGGACAGAGCGGGGGGGCTTATGCTGGTAGGACCCACCCTCTGGTCATTACGGCTCTGTCCCGTGTCAGGAGGTCTGACTCTGACACTGTAGCTGCCTGAGCATGACGGCGGGGAGTATTGTGCAGGTGCCATTAAGTGCCTCCAGTGCTTTTCAGATAAAGCACTGGTCCTGGGTGATGTCAGGCGGTTTGACATCATCAGCGTGCAGCTGAGGTGGAGGTGCCGAGGTCACCTACACGGTTGACTACGGATCCGGCCGAGGTTCGGGACGATGCTCAAGACGGATGGACTTCGAAGAGGGACGAGGTGACTTCACCTCGGACACGCGGGGTGGCCGAGGTGAGCACCCTCAATAAGCCCCCCAAGCCTCGGGGGCTTCGGGCCAGGGAGGTACCGAGGCTTCTTTGTGCCGAAGTCGTGAAGAGTCGGGGTCCCAAAACTACTCCGGAAGATGCGGGAACGTGACACGTGGGCGAATCAGTTGATAGGACGTGGTCACTGATAACCGTCGCGTCGTGAAGTAGTGGGACGTTTCGTGCAGAAGGTGTCAGTCGAAAGGACGGGGCATTAATGAGGAGAGAGGGAGGCATGGCGTTTTGAATTCGATCGTGGTCGTCTTTTCGTATTCTTGCCGCCTCTTCAGATTCTGGCCATCCCCTATAAATAGGTGGTCCTTTTCACCGCATGGCCCATCATTTCCTTCTTCTGCCTGGGACTTGCCAAGTTTACGTCCGTTGCCGAGATCAATCCTGCCAGCCGAGATCACAACCGAAGTCATCCACTTCGTCCAGTTCCGTAGACAATAGTAAGTACCCCTTTTCTTCCTTATCTCGTCTTTTACTCATGGCCAAAACGGCTAAAACCCACAAGAAAACTGTGACACCGAGATACCAGACCGAGGTGAGGCCGGGTCCGGAAGAAGAAGCGACGACATCCAGTTCGGAGGGGTCGACACCGAGTTCTGAAGAAGGATCAACCGAAGTGAGAGTCGGCGAGGCAGGCTCGGGATTGGAATCGTCCGAGATGAGCGAGGGTGGTTCCGAGGTCGAGTACAATACCGAGCTCGGGACCGAGATACCCCATGACGAGGGCGTACCGGAGCCAGTTGCTCCAGTGGACGCAGCCAACATCGACTTCGGCCAGATGCCGAAGTTTAGGAGTCGCGTGGGAAGGGATAGGGCCGAGAAGGTGGTAGACAAGTACCCCTTCCGGCCGTGGTATGAAGTTTTGCCGCCCGAGGTGGATGACACAGCCGCGGAGCCCCCCTTTGGCATGGTGGCCGTCTACGTTCAACAGCTGGAGGCCGGGCTGAGGATGCCGACGTCGAGGTTCCTCCGGGACTTAATTCGTCACTTCCAGGTGAGAATCACCCAACTCACCCCGAATGCGATCCGCATCATTGTGGGGTTTGAGATGCTGTGCCGACATCAGGGGGTGACTCCCTCCGTCGGTCTCTTCCGCCGATGCTACACCCTCAAGGCGCACACGACTGATAAGGGATGGTTTTATGTTGGCAACCGGAACAATGCCATCCCGAAGTTGGTGATCGGTGCTCCCAGCTCGATCAAGAACTGAAAGCGCGACTACTTCTTCGTGTCCGGAGTGGACTTCCCGAGGGGTTTTTGGTGGAGGCCAATTAAGGCGAAAGCCGACCCCTCAGCGGGGGATGCCGAAGAGGAGTCCTTCCAGAAGCTGATGAAGTCGGGACTTCGGCTGTTCAGCCATGACTACCCCGAAGCCGTGCTCGTGGATGGGGGGATAAGTCGAGCCGTGATCAATACTACCAAAACTCCCTTCTTTTCCACTGAACTTGAGAAGCCTTGTAATTTTCTTTCATGACTTTTCTTTTCACTTCGGCTAAGGCATATGATAATATTTATTTCTTGTGCAGTGACTAAACTGTCCGACCTCGTCGTCTCTGGCTCGTCCGAAGTGGTCAAGAGGCAGAAGAGGAAGAGCACTGACGAGACCTCAGCACCTCCGCCAAAGAAGAAGAAGTCACAAGGACCAGCCGCTAAGACTTCGGCGCCTAAAGGCACTCCCACCAAGGTTGGCCAGAGCAGCTCGGCCACTGCGGCTACTGGGTCCACCTCGTCTGTACCAGAGGGAGTTCCCCTTGGAGTTGTTACAAAAGTCACACCTCCTTCTGGCCGAGGCAAGCAGCTGAAGCCTCCAGTTAATCCGGTATCGGGGACCTCGCTATGGAATCGTTTCCATAGCCCCCCAGTGTTTCCCGGAGACGAGAAGACGCACTCCGGCAATCATTGGTGTCCGAACTGGAAGATTTCGGTCAACGACAAGTGCCAACATCCTCGGGTCGCTCATGAGCTAGTAATGCACTCCACTCTGCCAAGGGATTTGGAGTTCATGAAGAAACTGAACCCGGTCGAGCTGGTTCAAAGTCTGATGGTGACCACGGCTTCCAACTCAGCTTTTGCGACCGAGATGGCACACCGATACTGTGCTCTGGTCGAGGAGCAGGACACCGGCAAGCTGCAAAATCAGATCTCCAAGTTGGAGAAAAAACTGGTGGTGTCCGAGTCTGAGAAGGCCGAGCTGGAAAGACGGCTTAAGGAGGCCGAGGTGAAGGATGAGGAGGCCGTGGCTACCATCAACAGCCTCAGATCGGCCCTCGAGGAAGAGCAGAAGAGGGGGGACGAGGTGAAGAAGTCCCACGAGCAAGCCATTGACAGTGCTAGAACCTCGGCAGTGGAAACGTTTCGGAGGTCTGAGGCCTTCACCAGGGATCTCGGCCAACTACTCACGCCGAACTTCATGTTTGGCTTCACATCGGCCATAGATGAAGCTGCAGCTCACCTCTCCTCCGAAGCCTTGGAGTCCCTGAAAAACCATGCCAGCTACAATGAGGACTCCAAGGAGTTGTGCGACCGGATGGCCGAGGGCCTCCAAGCTGGAAGGAACCTGACCGAGGTCCAGGCCGAGTTCAACAAATGGCTGTCCGAGCTCGATGAGGTGCTCGAGGAGGTTGAAGAGGAAGAAGCTGGAGAGGATGCCGGGGGAGACGAAGCCGGAGAGGACGAAATCGGAGGGGACATTGGCAAAGAGCATGAAGATGAACTTCACCCCGACGAAAAGGAGGCCGAAGAGAAGGCTGCCCAGGAGGGAGCCAAGACCGGGGATGGAGCCGAGGCAGGGGTCTAGGCTCGTAGGTTTTAAGGGGGGTGGCCGAGGTGAAGAATGCTTAGTAGCATTCGGATCTCGGCCTTGTATTTTTTGTAACGCTCTTCTTTTCTGTTGAATGAAAGTCTATTTCTTCACATCTCGGCCCTTTTAATTTCTCGCTTCGTCCCTTGCTTGTCCCCCTTATTTTTTTAATAACGAATGCTGGGCATCATATTGTTGAAAAATAACTAAATAACTGAAATGAAGTCATAACTTCAAGCATGATACAACCTAAGGTTCTCTGCGTGCCAAGACCTCGGCACTAATGAGCCGTCTCGATAACTAAGTTTACAATACCCCTTGAGGTCAGATTCCACGACTCGGTAAGGGCCTTCCCATTTCGGGCATAGTTTCCCTTGTGGTTCAGCTCGGCTGACTGAGTTTTTTCTCAGAACCAAATCTCCAGGCTGGAATCTACGTGTTTGACCCGGGCATTGTAATAGCGTGCCAGTGCGTTTTTGTAGGAGGCTATCCGGGCTGAGGCGAGATCCCTTCGTTGTTCGACAAGGTCGAGGTCCAGCTGCCTCTCTTCATCGTTCACCTCGGCGGCATAGGCTGCCAGCCGAGGACTGGGGGTAAGGATCTCAGCCGGGATGACAACTTCGGCGCCGTAGGTCAGTGAGAACGGGGTCTCTTGTGTTGCTGACCTCGGCGTCGTCCTATACGACCACAAGACACTGGGGAGTTCCTCCACCCAAGATGACCCAGCTCGGGTTTTGAGGCCATGCAGGAGAGTCCGGTTGAAGTTTTCTGCTTGACCATTGGCCTGGGGGTGGCCTACCGAAGTGAAATGTTGTTTGATGCCGAGGTTCTCGCACCAAGTCTTGAACGGGTTCTCGGCAAACTGTCTCCCATTGTCCGAAATGATGATCTGAGGTATGCCGAAGCGGCAGATAACGCATTTCCAAAAGAATTTTTGGATGGCTAGCCCTGAGATGGTCCGAAGTGGCTCGGCCTCGACCCACTTAGTGAAGTAGTCCACCGCGGTCACCAGGAAGGTATAACCCCCGACGGCTTTAGGGAAAGGACCTATGATGTCTGTTCCCCATTGCTCAAACGGCCAGGGTGAAGTGATGGGAACCATGAAGTTTGAAGGCTGGTGGTGCTCGGGTGCCTGGACTTGGCAGGAAGGGCAGCCGAGAATGAGGTCCTGGGAGTCTTGCCGAAGTGACGGCCAGAAATATCCAAGGAGCATAGTCTTCTTGGCTAACATCCTGTGGCCGACGTGAGCTCCGCACAGGCCTTCGTGGATCTCGTGGAGGACGTGACGTCCGGCCTCGGGAGTGACACACCTCAGCCATGGGCCGAGGTAAGAGCGTTTGTACAGTTCTCCATCGCGGAGAGCGTACCGAGCCGCCTTGCGTTGTATTCTTCTCGCCTCGACTCGGTCTTCAGGGAGTGTTCCCTGACCCAAGAAAAGGATGAGCGGGGTCATCCAGGTATTTTCGGAGTGCACGGGGCAGGCCACCTCTTCCACATATCCGGGTTCACTCAGAACTTCAACTAAAACCG